TATATATACACACACACACACACACACACACACACACACACACACATTCTTATTTAAAAAAGACCACGTGTCGTAATCATGAGAGGAAGGATGTGTGCCCCAACCTGATAGAAGACCAGGCAGGGCTAATGGAAAGAATTGCATGTGAGATGATGAAGAAAAAGTGATCTCTCATTGGGGTGGTGTTCAATCTGCTAGTAGGCTATCCAATATTAAGCATTAATCTTGCTTTTTAAATCTTGGATTTTTTTTGTTTCACTTGAGTAAAACGCAAGCATATTCAGTGTATCTCATCTAAAATAGTATTCTTTTTTGAATCCTAGAATTTGAAAACTGAGAGAATGCCCTGGTAGTCGCTGTGTTCATTTGAATGATATAGTGTCAAGGCATTTGTGGCACTGACAGCTTTTCAAATCTAGGCTAAAATAACAAATGCACTCTACTAAATAAGGGAGAGGCAAGGCAAAGATACTTACAACTTCCATTTTCCTGTTTTTGTCTGATTAGTGGAGCTTTGGGTTTTCTGTCAAAGAATAACAATATTTTTAGTAGAAAGGTATACTATTTTACATATGCTAAAATATAAAACCTCTTATAATTTAAAGCAATTGCAAAGGAGCTGCCCAGGTTCTAGTGTTAGGAGCCTACATTTAGGATCTATGCATTAGGTAGTGGTAATGTGACTACAATTTAATGCATGATGAATTTGATTGGCTAAAATGCTTAAGTTTGCTTCATCATTTGTAATGCAATATGCATAAAGTCTTCTTGCTACTATTCTGTTAACAAATGAAATATCTTTCTCACAGATATTTTTTCTTTCCAATCAGAATGCTGATTTAAAGAAACAGCTTCATGAACTCCAAGCCAAAATCACAGCTTTGAGTGAGAAACAGGTAGGGGAAAAAGGAGTGTGTGTGTGTGGCGGGGGGCTGCGGGGGGCGTGTATTTTTAACATTGTTCTAAAGATATGTCTGCTTGAGGCTTCTAGGAGAACTGCTATTTTTCCTCATGTGTGAAAATAAGTGTGGGCAGCCAGACTCAGTTTTAATTTTGTTTGAGATCTGTTTATCTATTTTTATTTTTGGTTGAAATCAGTCTCTAGAGTATCCCATGGATATATGTTCCTGGTAAATATCGAAAAGCGGTGTGGCAAGCTGCTGTTAACTGTGTTAATTAAACTCTATACTTTACCCATAGAGGAAAAGGGTAAAGAAAGTTAGTGGGAGTACGTGATAGCTGCTGGATATGCTTGTTACTGTTCTGAAGACTTGAAATAACATTTAACTAACATGGAGATAATGATTGTAAACAGATCACTCTACTAGTAAATACAGGTCTCCCATTCTGATTTTTGTTATACCTTTATGTTAATCTGTATTAGATATTGACGTGAAAAAAACTTTGATTAAACCTTGTTAGATTTATTTTATATAGAGCAAGAGAAGAACATCTTGCTTTTTCAATCTGGAAAGCATGTTTTGGAATTCCTTGTATAATGACCTCCACTTCACCAATTCAGGCAGCTCCTGCCACCAGGTGGAGTGTGACAATTGATAGAGCTATAAGTAAATGTCTGTGGTAATCTGACAAATCATTGTTTTCTTGTTCCTCCTCCACCCTTCCTCTGATTAAAAGGAGCAGTTTTCTATTTTGGAGGAGGTGAACGTGTGAACCAAAATGATTAGTTGATTTGCAACTGATAGTTAATGCTAGTGATATCTCATTGAAGATTTTTGACTGAATAGTTCTCAGTAATTGATTTTATGTTGTTTTTTAAACTTTAGTGAAATAAAGGCGTTGAGAGTAATTTATTTTTGGAGATTTTTTTGTAATTGTATTCTGTTACAGTGTGTGAGGAGAAAAATAAATCTTGAGAACTATGTGGAATAGTTATGAGTTGTTGCTGTTTCAGAATAGAATATTTTTCCAGCTGAGTGAACAACTGCTTTTTTCTCCCCCTTCCTGTTTTAAGCTACTATGTTTCCCCATCTTGTCTTCTCCAGAAACTAGAGGTGTTTTGGATTAGGAAATTGTCACACTCAAATTGGGCTAAGATGGCATGGTAGAGAACAAGTTTTAAGGAAAAATATAAACAGAGTTTATTAGTATATATTTGACTCTGATAGTGAGTCAGTTCTCTGAAGTCAAAATGATGTGTGTTAATGAAAGTGTTCTAGCTTTAGAATTGTGTTAGTGCTGAGCCTCCTATAGTTTCAGCGTTAGTTTGACAAGATGCCAATGAATGAGTCATTTGCTGAAAAATTCACGTGTTCCAGCTGAGAACTGATTAGTGGAGTAAGGATGGGGTCTGTTGTCACAAAGTTAACCTAAGGCTACATTTGAGGAAAATGGGGCAATTATAAATAAGTACATATATCTTAAGTTTTTGTTTGTGAGCATTGATACAAAGATTTGCTTTATTTCTGTAACTTTTTATTCTTTAATTTTTTTTCTATTAGGGGTCTAGCTTAATAGAAAATTGTAACCATTTATGTTCAGTAAGGTATTTCATCAAGTGGTAAATTCTGTCATCTGAACTAAGTTTGGATTTTAGAAACTAGAATTTTTAAAAATGGGTCTAGTGTCAGTAAAGAGAACTAGAGTCAGAAACTGAAATGCAATCTTGCAGTTTTATTTGCTTAACTATTTAAACAGCCTTTTTGATAGAACAGGGAATGTACCATTGTTAGGTAGGATAGTACTTGAGGAAACACAGCTGTAAAGTTCAAAAGCTGGTCCTTCCGCAGACTTATTTCCAACATGAAACATTGATATTTAGTTTAAAATAGTATTATTTTAGAACAAACTGTTAATGCTGAATGCCCAGCTTTTTGTGTGTCTTTTTTCCTCACAAGATCCACTTAGCCTCTGGGAAAACTTAATGATTTTCCTTCAACTTTAATAACTAAAATCTAAATTACCTTACTTGCATGACTATTATTTTAATTTAACATTAATATTTTGGTTGTGAGAAAAAATGTAAATACAGAATACTTCAAAGAATGTCATATTCCAGAATTAACACTGATTAACCCTTTGTCATTATTTGTTTCCATTCTTTTTCTATATGCATTTTTCTATAATATTTTCTATATCCACTTGAAAATTCAATTATACAATAGATGCATACATTCTCTTACTTTGCTTTATTAAAAAACAAAATTTGCAGATAGCCATTAATTCTTACAGTAAGCACTTATTTGTTTTTATTTGTTATTGCTCCTGCAATCTTTTTTTTTTTTTATTGATTTTTTACAGAGAGAAAGGGAGAGAGATAGAGAGTTAGAAACATCGATGAGAGAGAAACATCGATCAGCTGCCTCCTGCACATCTCCTAATGGGGATGTGCCCGCAACCCAGGTACATGCCCTTGACCGGAATCGAACCTGGGACCTTTCAGTCCGAAGGCCGATGCTCTATCCCCTGAGCCAAACCGGTTTCGGCGCTCCTGCAATCTTTGATACTTATTCAATTTCTTTCTCAAGACATTATGAAATGGGACCCTTTATTTGGAAAAATATGGTCTTTAGGGAACATCCTTCATGGCTAAAACTTAGTGAATTTTATTGAATTCTTAGTTAGAAAGTTCCAGTGATTTCCAACTGGAACTTGAGGTCTCTGAATAGAAATTTTCCATGGCAGATTTTGAAGTCAACTTTTGACCCACGGGGTCTGGTTGACAGTTTTTAACTTAGGAAATCCCTAGATTTGATTGGCTACAGAAAGTATATGTTATATAATCACTCTCATGGTTTCAGAAATGTTTTTGTGACATTGGGAAGTGCTCATGGTAAAATAATTGAAAAGCACATGCAACTTCACATGCATTACAGTCCTGTTTTTGTGTGTGTTGTAGGTATATATGTGTATACAAGTGTAAATGTGTATAAAAACAGTGTCAGCATATGTTGTTGGAAGGTGATGAATTTACAGGTAGTTTATTTTTTCTTTATATTCTTATATACATTTGCTAAATTCTCCACAATAAATGTTTCCTTTATAACTAGAAATAGACAAGAAATAATAAAAATAATTAACACTGAACTCTTGTCTGTATCAGGAATAGTTAGCATTTAAAAGTCTAATGACATTCTCCTCGTGAAATATTAACCTCTCTAATCAGAAAATCCAGCTATTTTATTTTTTTTAAAAATATTTTATTGATTTTTTTTTTACAGAGAGGAAGGGAGAGGGATAGAGAGTTAGAAACATCGATTAGCTGCCTCCTGCACACCCCCCACTGGGGATGTGCCCGCAACCAAGGCACATGCCCTTGACCGGAATCGAACCTGGGACCCTTGAGTCCGCAGGCTGACGCTCTATCCACTGAGCCAAACCGGTTAGGGCTGAAAATCCAGCTATTTTAAATACTATTAATACTGAAGTGTGAAAGCAATTATTAATTTCTTTAACATAGTTTATTTTCATTCTGCATTCCTCCCTCCTCATTTTTGACATGCATATGTGGTCTTTTGCTTGTCAGGGTACAGATGCTGATACTGGGGGCACAGCACTTAGTTGCTTTAGTAGTTTGCTTTCATTTTAGTGCATTGTAGACGCAATCTTAACATCCCAAAGTATGTTGCTTGACCCTGTGGTGATTCAGGCTTAAGCCATAGTAGTTGCATTTTTTATTTCCCCTTCCTTGAACAGTTTGCTCCCCACCCCCACCTTCCTTCTCCTGGTGCTCTCTGGCCAGGCATTAGGTAGCAGCTTAATTACTTCCTCAGAAGACCTGTCTCTGAAACCCCATCCTCATGTTAAAATCAACTGTTTCTATTATAATCTCTCCTTGAACCTTTCACTTTTCCTTTATAGCTATCCCATTTAGGATTAGGTTCAGCTGTGAATGACTAAAAACTCAAACTGAAAATGGCCTAAACAAGGTAGAATTTTATTTCTCTCTCATGTAAAAGTTCTGTAGGTGGACTATGCTGGTGGTAGTGGTGCCACAGTTTCAGGGAACCCAGGCTCCTCCTATTCTGTTGCCCTGCCATTCTCAGTATGAAGCCTCCACATCATAGTCCAAAATAGCTGCTCCATCTGGTAAGAAGGGGGAAAAGCAACAAAGAGCAACTTTATTTTTAAGGATGTTTACTGGAAGTTTCACGGGCCACTTCCAAATTAGATCCCATTGGTCAGAATTTAGTCAACTAGGAGCAAGGAAAGTCAGAAGTGTAATCTATTCCAAGTGGTTACCGCCAAATAAAACTCAGGGACTGTGGTACTGAGTAAGAAGGGGGAACATGCTGGCGATAATTAGTAACTTTGGCCACAATAGCTTATTACAGTTTGGAATTACATGTATGTGATCATTTTTTAAAGTATCTGTCTTCCTCACTAGACTATGATTTCCAGGAAATCAGGGAACATGTTTGTCTTACTTTATTTTGAGTATAATACTTAGTATAATATTTAGCATAAGATAACATTTAGCAAAGAAAAGCATTTGTTTCTTAAATGAATTATTTTATCCAACTGATCTTTTTCTCTATTTGTATATAATTTTTTAAAACAGTGCATCTTGTTTTATATGCTTTTTAAATTTAAAGTATGAATATGTTCTTTAAAAACATGATATTTAGTAGCTTCAAATATTTAATGGTCTGGCTAGATCATACTTTATTTAGTCCTTTATTAGTTGATGGTAGGATGTTTCCAGTTTTTCCCTAATATAAATATTGCTGTGATAAACACCTTTGTATTGTGAACCTGTTTCTTTGTGATTGCCTTGGGATAGATTCTTAGGTATGAGATTACTGGGTGTAGTGGTCAGCTACTGCCATGACAGTTCTGTATAACAAACCAGTGTTTTATTGAGGGGCTTATAACACTAAGTGTTTATTTTCACATTGGGTCTGTAGATCACATGGACTTCTCCTGATCGAGGCTG